CCAGCGATTCTGATGACCGCAAGCAGATCTACAACATCCTGTCAGCCTTCGAGCTGCTGCCGTCTCGGACGGACTGTGAGATTGTGCGCCGGGTGTGCGAGAGCGTGTCCACACGCGCTGCCCAAATGTGCTCGGCCGGGCTGGCCGGCGTCATCAACCGCATGCGGGAGAGCCGCAGCCAGGACACCCTCAAGATCACTGTTGGTGTYGACGGCTCTGTCTACAAGCTCCATCCCAGGTGAGGACCCCTAGACCTTTCCCCCCACCTCTTCCTTCATCCCCCAAGGCTCGACTGTGTGACCCCTTTTTTCCACTCCCCAGCTTCAAGGACCACTTCCACGCCACAGTGCGGCAGCTGACGCCCGGCTGTGACATCACCTTCATCCAGTCAGAGGAAGGCAGCGGGCGCGGGGCCGCCCTCATCTCGGCTGTGGCCTGCAAGATGGCCTGCATGATGGGGCAGTGAGCTGGACTCGGAGGGGGGATGGCAGGGGCCGGTGGTCCTGCTCAGAGCGCTGTGGGAGCAGACACGGACGCGGGAAGGAGGCGGCTCTGGCCCCCCAATAAACGGGGTGTGTGTGGACTTCTCTGRGGCCACTTGGGCCGGTGCTCCCAATGCCTCTCCCCCATGCTGGCAGGGAGAACCCCATGGGGCTGCCCCACAGATAGGGGGTGGCTGAGGAGCTTCCCATGCCCTCACCCTCACCACATCCTCACATGGCTGYAGCATGAGGGACTTCAGCACACCCCAGCCTCTTTGCTGGGGGAAAGCCTCCCTAAGGGGGTTGACCTAGAGATAGGGGGTTYTTTGGGGGTTCTTGGGGCGGCTGTCAGGGTGGAGGAGCTCCCCACCAGTGAGCTCTGGGGTGCAGAGACTGACTGGAGTGTACCAGGAATGGGCCAAATGGATGGGGACATTTTTGGGAGATCCCCTCCAGTCCTGTACCCCTACACTGGGGGGCAGGTTGTGGAGCAGGGTGTCCTGGCTCCCCCAAACTTGGCATGGACCCACACCAAGGGCTAAATCCTGCTTCCACCAGCAGCAGCACCCCAAAACCCAGCAGGTCCCAGCCCACCCCAAACAGCGGGACGCATAGGTTACCTCCTGGGCTGTTCCATGCTCCTGGGTAACACAGCTCAGACCCTTCCCTATTTCACAGAATCAACCAGGTKGGAAAAGACCTTTGAGATCATCAAATCCAACCTATGACCTAACACCACCTTATCAACTAGGCCATGRCACTGASTGCCACATCCAGTCTTKTCTTGACCTCTTCCAGGGACAGTGACTCCACCACCTCCCTGGGCAKCCCATTCCAGTGMCCACTCACCTCTYCTGTGAAGAAATTCTTCCTAATGTCCAACCCAGAGATTTGAGTTCACCAGAGGGTCTGGCACAGAGTATTGGGGTCCCTCTGGGGGTCATGAGCACCTGAGGGTATTGGGATCCCTCTAAGGATCTGGAAGTACCACAGCATATTGTGGTTCCCTGAAGGCTCTGGAGACAGCCCAGGGTTTTGGGTCACTCTGAGGGTCTGGAGCACCCCAGGGTGGAGAGGTCCTCCCGGCACACCACAGTATGTTGGGATCCCTTTGGGGGTTTGGGGCACCCCAGAGTCTGGAACCCACTTAGGGTGTTGGGGTCAGCCCTGGGGATGTGGGGTCACCCCATGGTCTCGGCCATTTTGGGTCCAGGGTTATATTTGGGATATTTGGGGCTATTGCAGGGGTCTGGGGTAACCCTGGGACATGGGGTCACCCAGGATCCAGGGATCTCAGGGGGTGGGGTAACTCTTGGGCATCTGGGACCACCGAGGGGGAYTGGATCACTACCCCCTGAGGAGCTGGGACTACCAAGGGGTCTCGGTATCCTCAAAAAGTGCAGGGCCACCCCACGGCTGGGGGATGCATGTTGAAGGGCTGGGGACACTGGGAGGCTCTGTGGCACCCCAAGGGACAAAGCCACCCCAGTGATGATGCTCCTGAAGGCTCCAGACCCATGGGTGGCACTGGGATCCCCACAGCTCACTGCAGGTGGGGAAGGGGATCACTCTGCTCTGATTGGCTGCAGCCCTCAGCCAGCAGGATTCCCTTTGTTCTGATTGGCTGCAGCCCTCAGCCAGCAGGATTCCCTTTGTTCTGATTGGCTGCAGCCCTCAGCCAGCAKGATTCCCTGTGTTCTGATTGGCTGCAGCCCTCAGCCAGCAKGATTCCCTKTGTTCTGATTGGCTGCAGCCCTCAGCCAGCAGGATTCCCTKTGTTCTGATTGGCTGCAGCCCTCAGCCAGCAGGATTCCCTKTGTTCTGATTGGCTGCAGCCCTCAGCCAGCAKGATTCCCTKTGTTCTGATTGGCTGCAGCCCTCAGCCAGCAGGATTCCCTGTGTTCTGATTGGTTGGCACCAGAAAGACATTCTTGAGCTCTGATTGGTCACAGCCCTCAGAGACTCACAGTCTCTCTGTTCGGATTGGCCAGGGGCAAACAGAAGAGATTCCCTGCACTCYAATTGGCTGGAATTAAAAATTTTAAAAAGAAAAAGGGTGTGGGTTTCCCTGTGCTCTCATTGGCTGGGACTGAAGAAGGGATTCCCTTCTCAGCTCAGCAGGGACAGTGAGGATGATCCCAAGCCCATGGCAGTGCCACTGACAGCTGGGTGACAAGTGACAGTGCCAAGTGCAGGGACAGATGTAGTGCCAGGCAGGGGATGTGCTGGTGCACAGTGAGGGGACAGTGACAGCTGGGGCCATCCGGGTGTGTGGAGGGAACTGCTCAGTCCACCCCACATGGGACACATCCCCATGTGACCGCTGGCACCTTCAGTGGCATCTTGGCCCTGCTGGGGGCAGGCCAGGGCCACACTGTCCCCTGCCAGTACCTGCTGGTATCTGCCCTTGTCACCCTGTCTCCCCAGGGCAGACAAAAGAGACACATGGAGCCAGAGGAGGGGTTTTATTGGTGAGGGGGGTGTGGGGGGAGGGGAAGGGGGCGGCTGGACAGAGGGGATTTCGAGGCTGAAGGGGCATCAAGGTTTGGGGGGCACTCGGGGCTATGCCTGTGGAGACAGGAAAGAGCGGGTGGTGAGTCAGGGGCCAGCAGAAACAACTCCTCCAGCMTTCCCCCTGCTCCACAATGCACTTTGGGGTGAGCAGGTTCACCCCCACCCTATAGAGCTGCAGCAGGGAAGGTTCAGGAACCCCAAGCACACTCCCACCCAGCAGACATGTGTGGGGTGCAGGATGTGGGTTGCAGGGTGCAGGATGTGGGGTGCAAAGTGGGGGACGCAGGGTGGCGGATGTGGGATCAGGATGTGGGGTGCAGGACATAGGGTTCATGACACAATGCAGGTTGGGACACGGTGAAGGATATTCGCTGCAGGATCAGGATGTGGGGTGAAGGATGAGGGTTCAGGGTCAGGGTGTAGGGTGCAGGGTGAAGGATAGGGGGTGTGAAATTGCAATGCAGGTTGCAGGACATGCTACAGGATGCRGGATGTGGGGTGCAGGACATTGGGATCAGGACAGCATGCAGGTTGGGACACAGGATGCAGGATCAGGATATGGGCAGGCACTGACCATGCTCAGGACCGGCAGATACGCAGGGCAGTGCAGATGTTCCGGGGTGCATCCCCATTCTGAAGCCCCTCGGTGATCTGGTCCTTGTACTTTTTCACCAGCTGCTGGCACGGCTTGGCCATGAGCCGGCCCAGTTTCCGGCAGCCCTTCCGCAGTGCTGCYGCCAATGCCTCCTGCCAAAGCCACCACAGGTCAGGGGACCGCAGGGAGATGACCCTCAGCCCAGCCCCCCAGACCCTCACCACTCCTCACCTCATCGGGGTCGTCACCTGCCAGTGCCTGTATCTTCTCCAGGATTTTGGTGCAAAGGCTGCACTTAACCTTYCTGCCCTGCGCCACGCCGTCCTCTTTGGTCACATTCCCCTGTGGGGACACAAAGACCTTCAGGGCTGCCTGGACCTCTGGGTGGCCCTGGCAGAAGTTGGGGCTGGGGTTCTTACCTGGGCCAGGCTGTCCCAGAGGTCCTGGCACTGCTGCTCCCAGCCACAGCGTGTTRCCATGGCCATGTCCCAGCAGTGGGACATAGGGTCATCCTGGCAGGGTGGAGGGGCCGCAGCCTGTGTTGCTGCATGGGGACAGGACGGTGAGCACGGCCACAGGTTGGGTCACTGAGGTCCCCAGCGACCCTGGAGGTGCCCAGACCCCTAAACCACCAGCCCCAGGTACTCAGCCCCATCCCCACCATCCCTCCAGCCTGTACCCACATCCTTCTGTTCCCCCATTCCTARGTTCCCATCCAGACCCTGTCTCCAAACATCCTCAGGTGCTGCCAACACAGGCACCATCCCCATCATCCCTGGGTCCTCAGGCAGACCACACCCCTGCCACCTCCAGGCGCTTATTCCCATGAGACCCCATTCCCAAAACCCCCGGCCCCTCCACCATTCTTCCTGCCTGTCCCCTCGTTCTCCTTCCCACATCCCTGAGTGCCTGTCCCCACACAGACCCCATCCCCATCACCCCAMACAGACCACAGCCCCGCCAAGCTCAGTCACCCAGGCTGCCATCTCCATTGTCCCATGTGTCCCCTCCACCTCGGGGTGACCATCCTCCCTGGTCAGCAGGAAGGTCCCCATTACCTCCTATCACCACCAGCACCAGCAGGAAGGCGGCAGCCATGGTGAGCCCACTGAGCCGGTGACAGCGGATGACTGACACTGGGTGACAGCCCACAACCTGACACCTTTTATACTGGGCCGTGGGGGTGGGGGACCAAAACCCCAAAACGCCCTAAAATAGAACACCACCGCTCCCCGGGGCCCTTCCTGCCTCACAGTTCCACCCCCGCAGGAAGGGGACACGGGGGAGCTTGAGGGGGACACGCGGAGGCTCGGGGGGTACATTGGGGAGCTCAGCAGCTCCCAACCTTCCCAGCCTCGTTCCCTCAGGGAAGCTGCTCCTAAAGTGTCCTAMAGTGTGGGGCGGGGCGGGGAACGGCAAAATCTCCAACGGCACCGGAGGGTCCATCCCGGGGGCCTCTTTGGGCCCCTCCGGGCTCAGTCCTGGTGTCCTCTCTGGGGTGGGTCACCGTGCCCCCCAGTGTTTGCTCCCCTTCACCCCATGGGTTCCGTGGCTCGATGCCGGTGTCTCGTTATGCCCGTTTCACGTTCCCCGCCGCGGGCCCATCCCCGCGGGCCCATCCGCCCCTCACCGCCCCGGCCCACAGCGGTTGCCATGGCCACGGCGTCACTTCCGCCGCGCGGCACACAACTTCCGGCTTCGCGGGCGTTCGCGCCTTTTCCCGCCGCCCCGCCCCCATGGCGGCCCCCGGTGCTGGCGGCGCCCCTCATCCGCTCACCTCCGGCCCCGTACGTGACCTGCGGGACCCCGGGCGGGCGGGACCGAGCCGGTGAACCGTTTGGGAGCGGAGGAGACCCCGTTTGGGGAGGACCCTGCTTGGGGAGCATGGGAGCACCCTGCTTGGGGAGCATGGGGGGATCCTGTGGGGCCCTGAGGGAGGCTGGGGTTGGAGCATTGGGGTTGAGGGTTTGGGGTTTGGGGAGGGGCTGTTGTGTCCTCGGGGGGGTTCCTGGTGCCCGGGAGGGGGATCCAGTGGCACAAGGAGGATTGTTCCCGAGGGAGTGGGTTGGTGAAGCACTGGTGCCTGGGAGTCTCCAGGGGAYTATGCAGGGTCCATTTGGGACAGGGGAGTCCTGCGGAGATCCAGTGGGCAAGGTGTATTTTGGGGGGAGTTCAGGTGTCCTGCTCAGGGGTGGGATTTTAGGAGAGGATTGGATGAGTTTGGGGATGCCCTGGGTTGGGAGGAGAGGGGAAGAAGCGGGGCTGAGGGGGTGTAGCGTGCAGAGGGAGGGTCAGACCCAGACATGGTTTGTGTTTTGCGGGTGGAGAAGATAATTTTCAGAGGGACTCTGTCTTGGGGTGACAATGATGGCCAAGTGAAAGCCAGGATCCTTAATTCACCGATTTATTTTCCAGACCCATCGTTAGACCCCCACATCCCACACCATGTTTTCGGAGCAGGCAGCCCCCACGGCACAGGGGCTGCTGGCCCCTCCCTCGGCCGAGCCCCCCACCTTCCCCAGGGTGCCTGTGTCAGGATACTCAGACTGCTCCCAGCCCTTCCAGCTGGGCGAGCGGAGCTTTTCCCGGCAGTACGCCCACATCTACGCCGTGCGCCTCGCTGGGATGCGGCCCCGACTGGAGCRGTGTGCACGGAGCCGATGGGGTGAGCCCGGGGGGAACTCTGCCTGTATCAGAGCCCTGCCCCAGGAAAAGCACTGAGGGGCTGGAGCATGGCCAGGGGTAGGGCTGGAGCAGCAGCTGAGCTGGCAGGGCTCTGAGTGGAGAAAAGGAAGCTCTGGGGGGACCTTCTGGCTCTCCACAGCTCCCTGCTGCAGCCAGCAGGGTGTTGGGCCCTGCTCCCAGGGGACAAAGGGACAGGACAAGAGGAAATGGCCTCAAGTTGCACCAGGAGAGGTTCAGGTTGGATACTGGGAAAATTCCTTCATGGAAAGGGCTGTCCAGCCCTGACACAGCTGCCCAGGGCAGTGGTGAAGTCCCCATCCCTGTAGGGATTTAACAGCCATGTGGATGTGGCACTTGGGGACAAGTRTTAGTGATGGCCTCGGTAACAAGCATCTGTGGAGCTGCCTCAGGATTTTATCTGCTTGTTTGACCAGATTTATATCTGGAGTCCAGAAGTGAGTGAGTGTTCTCAGCCTCACGTTGGATGTACCCTGCAGGCATCCCTGGGGTCATGATCCATCCCTGCAGCTATGAGATCCATCCCTGCCAGGCTGGGATCCACCCACAACCTTCCTGTAACCTGAGCAGCTCTAGTATACCCAGTAGTATCAGCAGTGTTTTACACCTTTGACAGGGGATGTGCAGCAGATCCCACCCAAAACAGCTCAGCCCCCCAGCTCTGGGATGTCCAGTAATGATGGGATAATCCATTTGCAGCTGGATTATGTGGTTATTACGCTGCAGCTCCTTTCCACYTGGAGTTCTGAGCTTGGAACAAATTGCATTCCCCATTGCAAATAGAAGGGGGATGCAGGCAGRAGGAACACAATTGTCTTTTAATCACATCATAGTCCATACACTTCACATCACATCGCTCCATACACTTTTGGGAGCACGAGATGAGTGTGAGATTTGTCAGGGGGGCTGGGGCTCCTGGCCAGGAAGTGGGTGCAGTGGGGTGAGAGGTGCTGGTTGTGCTGGGGGGGTGTTATTTCCTGTCTGGGGGGGTTTGTGGTTCTGGGGGTGGGACCCTTACGCTCAGAGTTTCCATCCACAGGACAAAGCATGAAGCAATTGAGGCTCTGCCCCCCCAGCCTGGGCATGGCCTGTGGTCAAATTTCCTTCAGCTTTGCCCTTCTATGGGCAAAAACCTTTTCAGTGGAAGCTTTTGGGCCAGACGCCTGTTCTTGTGCTCTCCCCAGCCCCGTGGGCTGTGTGGAAGCAGAGCCAGTTCTGGTCTCACAGCGGATGCTGTTCCTTGGTTGGCCCCCCTGGATTTGGCTGAGTGTGACAGAACCCAATGGTTTCTAAAGCTCCACCTCCTGTGATCCTGGGATGGGACCAGATTTCGGGGTTTGTCTCCCAGCAGGAAGTGCCTGCAGGCAAAAATCTGGAGAGCACAGCCCCCCCCCCCCCCGAACACACATTTTGGAGAGTTTGAGCCAAAAATAAGAAACTTCAGCAGGATTGTTTTTGTTCTGACTCAGAGTGTTTGCATTCCTGGGCTCGGAAATCCATGTTTCCAGCATGGGGTGCCAGGGATGGCAGCAGGATGCTCTCCCAGGGACAAGAGTCACATTCAGCAGCGCGTGATGAGCAAAGGGAGATCTTTGGGAGGAGAAATGTCATCCAGAAAGGATGAGGAGCTGGCGCAGGCAGTGTTGTTTTAGGAGAGGAGCTTGGGAGCAGGTTCCTTCCTCCTCTCCAGCTCCTGAGGCTTGGGATGGACTCGCAGGCTGGTTTAAACAGGGAATGACAGTCCCACAGCCACGTACTGGATGGGAGGACACACACTGGATGGGGCTGGAGCATCTCTGGGTCCTCAGGGGTGGGCTAAGAAGTTTTGGGCTCACCTTGTGGTGAGAGAGATTTTTGCTCCTCGGCCACAAAGTGGATGCAGCTGGTGCTGTGATGCTTCTTGCAGCTCCCAAGATTCTCGCAGCCCTGTGGATCCCTGCCTAATGCCCAGGAATCTGTCAGCATGCCAGGATATTTTCTGGATGTGATGGGGATCCTGAATTCCAGCAGGGATCTGGGGCAGAGGATCTGGCCCTGGCAGAGATCAGGTTTGGGGGTGTTGGGTGATCTCCTGCCTGTCAGCTCCAAGCAGGATGTTTGATGAAGAGCAGGAACAGCAGTCTCCCATGCCCAAAGGCAGGAACATTGCATCCTGGACCCTTCCCGGGCAGAGCCATTTACTGGGAGCTAGACACACCACCATGACACAGCTATCCCCCCAGCACAAAGGAAATGCCTGCAGGCTTGCAGGCTCTGGAATGGTCCTCCAGCCCCATCTGGCCCACACATGTCCATTGGGCACCGTGCCTCGAGAAAAAGCAGGAGGTTTCCCAACATTCCCCAGCACCTCTTGCTAGCCCCAATGCTGGGGCCCTTCAGCTGCTCCCTCCAGCCCTGCACCATCACCCYGAGGCCACTGACCACCCGTCTCTCCACAGGGAATGACGTTGCACTGCGGAARCTCTCGGAGCTGCAGGCGGGAGAGAAGTGCTGCGTGGTGGGGACACTCTTCAAGGCCATGCAGCTCCAGCCCTCCATCCTGCAGGAGATCAGCGAGGAGGTAATGGGCACACCCCTCCTCCTCCTCTGCACAGCTCAGGGGGTTGTGCCAGCACAGCTGAGAGCTCAGCTGGGTTTCCATGGCTTCCCTGTGCTGGTTGTAGCCAGGAAACTGGCGGAGATTTGATTGGGTTTGTGCCACAGGGTGACCTGTGCCTGCCCTCTCCCTGGATGCCACCTTGGTGACACTTGGTGCCAGCGTGTGTCTGTGTGTGTCTCCWTACAAAATCATGGAAACATGGAATRGATTGAGTTGGAAGAGACCTTAAAGCTCATCCATGGGCAGGGACACCTTCCACTAGACCAGGTTGCTCCAAGCCYCATCCARCCWGGCCTTGAACWCTTCCAGGGATGGAGCAGCCACAGCYTCTCTGGYCAACCTGTGGTAGGGCCTCAGCACCGTCACAGGCGTGCATTCCTTCCTCATATCCAGTCTAAACCCACCTTTTGTCCATCTGAAGCTGTTCCCTGGGCTACTTGCCCCCACTCTTGCTCAGTGATGCTTTTCCAGCCCTCAAAGGGTTTGTATCCAATGGGGTTGGCAGTGCAGACCCTCTTTCCCTGCCACAGGGGAATGAGGGGGGTGAGGGAGGTGTCAGAGAAGCTCTGCCATCCCCATGTGGGCCTGGGGCCCATCTGCTCCCAGCCGGTTCATGTTGGGAAGTTTGAAGTTCCCATCATCCGTCTGAGCCGCTTCCTCTTTGGATGGGGCTCATGTTTGGGATGCTGCTAAGTGAAACCAGACCATCCAGGGGGGTTCTAGCTGCCAGGGCCTCCAGCCAGGCTGTTGGCTGTGATGRTGGGCTGGGGTTGGGACGTGTCCTTGGGAGTTGCTGGTCCTTGCTGGGACACTCAGAGCTGTCTCTGCGCCCTCACAGCACAACCTGGTGCCTCAGCCGCCCCTACCCAAGTACATCCAGCCCTCTGACGAGCTGATCCTGGAGGATGAGCTGCAGCGGATCAAGCTGGATGGGGCCATTGATGTGCAGAGGCTGGTGACAGGTAAGGGACAGCAGTGGCTCTGTGGTGGCACCCGCCCTGCAGGTGCTGGCCAGGGCTGACCGCCTGCTCTGCCGTAGGGACCATTGTGGCTGTGTACGGCTCCGAGCAGGACGATGGCAGATTCCTGGTGGAGGATCACTGCTTTGCTGACCTGCCACCACCCCTGCCCTGGAACGGGCCTAGCTCTGACCGGTGAGTCAACAGCAGCAGGAGTAGGGCTGGCACTGTGTCCCTGCTGTGTCCCTGCTGTGTCCCTGAGCCCCTTGTACCAAGAGGGCTGGCAGAGGGAGTGACCCCTG